GCTAATTAATATTAACATTAACGTTTATATGTATACATGCATGTTGTATTGAAAAGGACGGGGTCATTTCTGTCTTTCCAAACAGAATTAATCAGACAAGAACATAAAAAAAAACAGCACACCACCGTTGCAACCATTCACATTTCCCTTCCCTTTCTCGGAATCAAAAAACCCCCAATTTCCCTCTTCCCTCAGAAACCCTCGTTTCATCAATTTTCCCAATCTCCCATCTCAAACAAATCCAATTCCAAATTCTTCCATTCCCAATTTTCAGCATCCCCAATTCCCAAACCCTTTTCCCCAATTGTTCCGCCGTTCAATTTCGCACCCCAAAATTCAACCCAAATCTTTATCAAACCCTAGAAGAATTATTGTTCGAATTCTCGGTCGTGGATGGGCACAATCAAGGGGCGGAGAGAAGCCCCCAAATCCATCTCCCTCCTCCATTCCTCCTCCGGTTCCTCGCCGGTGACGACGGCATCGACGTCGCGCACCGAGACGGTGAATGGGTCCCACGAGTTTAGGATCAGCGGGTTCTCGCTCGCCAAGGGCATGGGGATCGGGAAATACATAGCTTCCGATACGTTCATGGTCGGCGGCTACGAGTGGGCGATTTACTTCTATCCCGACGGTAAGAGCCCGGAGGACAACGCCACCTACGTCTCGCTCTTCATCGCGCTCGCCAGCGACGGCACCGACGTTCGGGCTTTGTTCGAGCTGACGCTCTTGGACCAGAGCGACCGAGGGAGGCACAAGGTCCATAGCCACTTCGACCGAGCGCTCGAGAGCGGTCCGTACACGCTCAAGTACCGAGGAAGCATGTGGTGCGTGTTGCTTATTTTGTGAGTTTTTGTTTGTTGGAAATTCGTTTTAATTTGTCTTGTTGAAGGTATAGAGAGTTTTGAATTTGGGGGATTGGATAGTGCAGTGATGTTTAATTGATGGGTTTTTAGTAGTTCAGGAATTTTGGAATTGGAATTTGGAGTTTTGGAAGTTCTCACTTGTTTGTTAATTTGATGGGAAATTGGATTGTGCTTTGATGTTTATTTTGATGGTTTTTTTTTTTTTAGCGGTTTAGAGTTTATAGGGTGATGAAATGCGTTGAATTTGGAGTTGGAAATTGGATTTGGAAATTTGTTCAATATTTTTTCATTTGTAGAAGATATATTCTTTTGAAGGTAGAGAAAGTTGTCAGGATAAGAAATTGGATAGTGCAGTGATGTTTATTTGATGGGTGTTTACTACGGAGTTTCTATGGTGATGAAAGGTTTTATTTTCGGGATTGGAATTGAGTTTTTGGAAGTTCCCTTTTGTTTGTTTAATTTTGATTTGTAGAAGGTATATTCTTTTGAAGGTAGAGTTTCTTGTCAAGATAGAAAATTGGATAGTGTAGTGATGTTTATTTTGATGGGTTTAGTATTGTAGAGGTTTCTTGGTTGAAAAGTTTTATTTGTATTTGGAATTCAGTGTTTTGTTTTCTTGTTTGTGCGTTTTGAATGGATATGCTCTCTGGTATCTTTTTGACCTATCAGTCCCTAATGTTACATTATTAGCGGGACAAATTTCATGGAATTGGAATATGTTATATTGATAAGCTAGGGGATTGACTATTGCGCTGATCTTTATTTGTTTGGCTTAGTAGTTCAGAGTTTCCAGGTTGAAAACTTTAATTTTTGGGTTTGGAATTTGGAGACGTCATTTTTTGTTTATGTACTTTGTATGGTTATGAACTGTACTACATATTTTCATGACCTGTCAATGCCTTATATTGCATTATATATCGGGAGAGAAATCTCATGGAATATGTTGTTTCTATTGCCATTATGGTCTAAACAAGTATAATTGTTCTATTCTTGTCTTTGGAAAACAAAAATAAATGAATTCAGTTGTGAGCTTCCGAAGCCTCAGGTTGCATTATTTAGTGGGATCAATAGTAAAGGTTCTTCTTTTGGACTCTGAAATTTTGTCATTTGTCTTGTCATCACATAATAGAGGTAGCTGTTTTCTTGTGTTTATGTTTTGAGAGGTCGTTACGTAATGTAATTGAACATTAATTGTTACTGAATGATCTAGGGGTTATAAACGCTTCTTTAAGAGAAGTGTTCTGGAGACATCAGACTACCTCAAGGATGATTGTCTTTCCATCAAATGTTGTGTTGGGGTTGTCAGGTCAAATACAGAGGGACCTAAGATATACTCCGTTACAGTGCCATCATCAAATATCAGTAACGATTTTGGAAAGATTCTAGAAAGTGGAAAGGGAAGTGATGTGAGTTTTGAAGTTGATGGAGAAGTATTTGCTGCTCACAAGTTGGTGCTTGCAGCGCGCTCACCAGTATTCAGAGCACAACTTTTTGGTCCATTGAAGGATAAAAACACTCGGTGCATAAAAATAGAAGACATGGAGGCTCCGGTGTTTAAGGTTCTTTATTGTATCTCTCTCCATATACATATATGTTCTTATTGTTATAGTGTGCACTCACACAAATAATATGAGTTATCTGTTTAGTTTGTCTTGTTTTAACATTTTCTTATAGCGTAAGTTTTATTTGTGTTTTGCGGAAAATTGTATTCATACTATCCTTAGCCACATTTATGATCTGGACTAGAAGAAAGAGAGGGTTCATTTTGTTGGCATTTCAAATTATCCCTGCTTCTATCATTCCTGTAACTTCCCTGTTGGTTCTCAATATTAAGGAGCATGAGATTTCAGTGCATCATGGTTGATGCCTTGTTACTACCATTATTAGCAAAAGAAATCTCTTGCTGAAAGTTCATTCAGTTTTTCAATCTTGGTGAATTAGTAAGACTGCTCTGATGTATCTTCTACTTTCTCCATGGTCTACTATTCACAGGCATTACTTCATTATATATACTGGGATTCCCTTCCAGACATGCAAGAGCTTGTGGGTATGAACTCAAAATGCGCATCTACAATGATGGCTCAGCATCTCCTTGCAGCATCAGACCGATATGCCCTTGAGAGGCTCAGATTGCTCTGTGAGGGTAAACTTAGTGAGGATATTTCAATAAACACTGTTGCAACAACATTAGCCTTGGCAGAGCAACACCACTGTTTCCAGTTGAAAGACGCGTGTCTTAAATTCATCGCGTTGCCTGAAAATTTAAAAGGTGCGAGTTTTCTAGACCAATATGCTCTTTTACTAATAGTTTGGGAAAGGCTGTTTCTATGAAATGGCAAGAAGCACTCTGTATTATAGAAAGCCAATTGTACGTAAGGTGCTATCTATGTTGATTTAGTATTGTAGCATATGTGAAGTTCTGTGTTTGTTACACACACACACGGATAGTTGAAGCAGTCAGTTCTCTAAGAATGCCGGTTCCTTAAAATATTTCTCTATTTCTAACCATTCCTTCCGTCTTTCTATATTTTTCTTCCTATTCTACTCTGTTTTCACTCGTGGGGAAATAACTTCGCAGTAAATGACGTGGTTTCTGGTTTACTTTCAGCTGTGATGGAAACAGAGGGCTTTCAATACTTGAAGGAGAGTTGCCCTTCTGCCCTTACTGAGCTGCTCCAATATGTCGCAAGGATTGGGGAGCATTCTGTCATTGCCAGTGGGTACGGCAAGGTAACTTTGTTAGACGGCAGCGATGTTAACAGGAGGCGGGTGAAGCCAAGATTGTATTGATTGATTGTGAGACACAATGGCATCAGTCGCACTCGCCCATAATAAAAGAGAGCGCACTAGGATCTAGACATTTTTCATTCTACTAACTGACTAATTCATGTGGAAAGAAAGGTGGTTTGTATGGGTTTCCAGTATTTTTTTTCTTTTTAATTGTGAAGTATTGTTTTGCTTTGTATTAAGCTGTGAATCTTCTTTTTCTCCGTAAATTTGTGTGCAGTTTATGCTGTTAGACTTTGATCATTCATTGTAGTTAATGACTTCTATGTTTGCCTTCATTCCCTGTTTCACTTTTCACTCAAGTCACAATTTAAGTTTTATTACTATAATATTTTTTTCATAAAAATTCAAATGTTAAGTTTTATTACTACAATATTTTCTTTCATAAAAATTCAAATTTAACTTTTTTATTATAGTGTTTATTCTCTCATACACTTGAGACTTGAGTTGTGATTTAAGTTTCGTTCATTTTGCGGATTTGAGTTTTCAATTCGAATTAAGATGTGATATTTTTTAATAGTTTTTCGTTGTAGTAGAAAAGTTAGATATGATATTTTTTGAGAGTTTTTAATTGTAAAAATTTAAAACTAAAAACTCGAATCAGTGAAATTAATGAGGCTTTAAACATATAACTCTCTAAATTGATAGCACGTCATGTTTAATTACCAAGACCAAAAATACATAGCTCTGCAATCGTGGCTTGTATTTCATTCAAATATTAGTTGCATTTATGAGTTGCTGCTATTTTGTCTACATAGGACCATCTAATTATTATCGTTAAAGTATTTTTTTTTTTTTTAATTACAAATACTTCCAATGCAATGGAAGTGAATAAAGAACTGTTCTTTTCGCAATTTGAATCAACTCATGCAAATCACAACTCAAGTTTTTTATTACAATATTTTTGTTTACAAGGTTCATTTCATCTCTTCAGTTGAAGGGAGCAAGAGTTTATTACTTCAAGTCCGAGAGTTAGTTTGGTAAATCATGAGTTAAAGATCATGGTAGATTTCCAAGCAAAAAGGAAAATGAAGAGGTTCTTATTTTTTAAAAGTAAAAGATAACATGGTAAACAGATACTACCACTGATGTTATGACCAAGAAAAGATAAAAGAAACAAAAAATAACTTGAGTTAATTTGCAAAGAATGTCAAGGAAATGGAAATAACTTGGCAAGTCATGGACAGTCTAGCCTTTCCCCCTCCCGTTTGTATGGATCTGGTTTATGACGAAGGATTCAATAAATCCTTTTCTTACGCTTAGAATTAGTAATACAGAATACAGCTTGTAGCTAAACCTCCAACGGGGTCACAGCCTCGAGTATCTCCATCGATGTCACGGAATTTGATGGAATCATAATTTCGATGGTTAATTGGTTCACGCGTGTGACAGATCTCTGGCTAGGCTCTTGTTCATTTTCTTATCATAGGCAATGTGTAATGTCTAGGAGAATGAAATTCTTCACCAAGTTAGTACTCAGTACTCAGTACCATTGACTTCCAGATCCGCCATGCGCAGCAGCAACTTTCCTTGCCATGACATATTGCGGCTTTTGTCGCATCCCATTGGAACCTTCAACCCCTTGGTCTTCCCCCCTTTCATTTTTACAGACGGGTGGGTTTCTTCTAGGATATGAAACCCCGGTCTCGGTGTATTGATTTGGAACCGATGGATTCCTGGAAGCCCTCCGTTGTTCAAGAGCCTCTGCTGCTGCGGCTGCACCGCAGTTGTTGTAACGTAATACCGAACCAACAACTTTTCCAGGCCTTGCGGCTCCTCCTGCACCCAAATAAGAAAATAAGATATAATTTGTCAAATGGGTACACCAGAACGTGGCTAAACTAAGGGGTGCTTCAAGGGAAAATTGAGAAAAACAGCGAGATTGTTTGGCCAGAGAATGAAACTGAGTTAGAAGGAAAGGAAATCTAAGAAAAACGATTGGAGGAGATAAGAAAGAAAGGAAACAATAGAGACCTTGGATGTTTTGAGGAACTTGAATTGGAAGCCTAGTCATAGGAATTCCACAACTCCGGTCTACTTGTGGCTTCTCCACTTCTTTGATGCAACATTTTGAGAGGTCGTCTGTGACTTCAGCTGAGGTTTGTACTGAGTTGTTATCCGAATATAACACGCACGGCCTACATGCAAATTTAGGACACCAACAATGTCAAAAATGGATCAAGAGCAGCGCGAAACCGATGATGCACTGCTGCTGAGCACAAACTGCAATAGCTTTACAGAAATCAAACCTTGGTAGTGATGCGTGTTGTCTCTCAGGTGGAGCAACATTTGAGCCCTTCCCATAGTGCTCCTCCAGAAAAGCAAATTGCTTTTTAAAATGGTCAACAGCACTGTATACAAAAGAGTTTTGAATGAAGTGTAATTTCTTGCGATAGGCAATTACATATGTTAGTGAAACTTCATTTGTAAACCCTTTCTCCGCACAGAAATAAAATTCAATGACATCCCCAACAAATTTTTGTTGGCTTCACTACTCACTGGATTGGAGCAAAACTCGATTAAAATTTTTTTAAAAAAATGTAATGGAGCTGTTCCCTTCAGAAATCAGATTAGCAGCACAAAGGGTCTTTGAATAAGTCAATAAAGCCAGAATAGAATATTGTGCTGCAAGTTGAACAAGGAATGGACTCTCTCATATAGAGCATAAGATATCAACATGAGAAAATGTGCTTGCCACAGCAATATATGGATACCATGTCATACAAGAAAGGGAGAAACTAACAATGTCAAATTTAGGATGTGAATACCTTGGATACATGAAGCCCGTTGGCTCAGATCCTTCCAAGTACTCCTTCAACATCTTTGGATGGTACTCAAGGATCTCACGATAAATCAGCTCTCGCACATCTTCCTTTGTTATTCTTCGCCTCTCGAATTCAAATTCCATCTTTGTGACCGGTTGTGCAGAAGGCTCCCTCTCAACCTTTGCCAACCCCTTAAAATAGGGATCTGCAAGGGCCTAAAAGCAGAAAAAATTGCGTCAAAAAACAATATACATGATTTGAACTAAACCTGCTTCACATAAAACATACCTCTTCGGCAGAAGGCCGATCTTTTGGTTCAAATGCCAACATTCTTTCTAATAAACGAAGTGCAAGGGGGTCTGCATTTGGGAATTTTTGGGAGAAAGGAATTGGCTTCTTCTTCCGCATGCTGCTCAAATATCGTCGGGCTTTCTCATTCCTTACCTATTTAAATAAAATTAAAACTTCACTACCAATATGATGGAAACAGTTCCACACTCGATGGATTATAGCCGAACATAAAGGAAAAAACTAAAAGCACCATATCCGTTGTATGATAATATAGGCATCACAAGAAACAGACCCTGGCAATGGCTTCAGCAGATGGTGTTCCCAACATATCAGTCATTAGATCCAGTTGATGGACAACATTCTTGCCAGGAAAAAGAGCCTTTCCGGTCAAAAGCTCTGCAAAGATACACCCAATGCTCCATATGTCTATTGCTGGTGTATACTGAAAATGGATAAAGGAATATTCTTAGTAATGAATTTTACTTTTTCTATGTTCACAAAAATGAGGAAAAGGAGAAAAGGACAAGATCGAGCCAAGAGGCTGAATCTGCGTCTGATATGAGAACAAATGTATCACCAATGACACCTATACAACAATAAGTCATACTTATGTTTAGATTATTCTATTCCACAGCCACAGAAAAATAAACCTAGTAGTCTTCATGAAGTAAAATGTGTAGGATGATTTTGGTGGAAAATCAACCTTTCATTTTGTCTAAACATTCATAAAAGGAGAGAAAAAAACTACTTCCAAACGGGTGAAAAGAAGTAAAAGTTTATGTACCTTTGAGAAGAATGATCCACACAATTCAGGAGCCCTGTACCATCTTGTTGCTACATAGTCCTGTGAATATGAGAAAGTGAAATAATCAATTCACACAACACATTCTAAAATATCTTAATCACATGTAAATCAGGTTGACTTTTTAGTTATTAGATTAAGAAGAAACTCACTGTCCAAAATATAGCTGTAGGGGTATCGTTAAAAGCTACTCTTGCAAGACCAAAGTCACAGATCTTCAGTTTGCAGTCAGCATTTGCCAAGATATTCTTGGGTTTCAGATCTCGGTGAAAGACATTTGCTACAAGTACATTAGAACATGAAAATTAGAACTGGATTTCTATATCAAGATCCACTCAGAGGTTCAATTTTTTGGACATTAGATAAAGACCCCAGCGTGAGACTCTCACCTGTGTGTATATATTTAAGACCTCGAAGAAGCTGATAAAGAAAGAACTGGTAATGTTCCGGTGTCAAATCATCATTCGCTTTGATGACCTGGTGCAAATCAGATTCCATAAGCTCAAAAACAACATAGATGTCTTTGAATTCCCTTCTGGAAGGTGGTAACAAGATGTGCTTGATCTCCACAATGTCGGGATGACGAAGGAGTCGAAGAAGTTTAATCTCACGAAGGATGCGAGTCGCGTCCGAGACATGCTCGAAGATATCGTTGATTTTCTTAATAGCAACCTTTTCTCCTGTATGTGTATCATACGCAGAGCAAACAACACCATAGCTTCCTTTGCCAATAACTTCCTCTATCCTATATCTGATCCCCTCGCCATATTCGGTGAAAAAATCGACTTCTGCAGTTGACTGCATCATTGTCACAGAAAATGTCTTCTAATCAACAAGATGATCTCATCATGGAAATGTAAACGATCCAAAGAAGCAAGTGGATAACCACCAAGTCAATAAGGAAAAGAGAAAATTGTGATTATGATAACTAAAAGTATATGATTTAAACTCCACATTAAAAAAATAGTTAACGCGGATTGGATAGATTCCAACTTAACCGGTCAAACCACTTTAAATATTATCCCACTTATCTACTAAGATGAGATGTTTCACTTTCACTTCCTAGATCAACAAAGACCAGATTCTTCTCATTCACAATCCAAGAGCATTATAAGTGGGACCTTCGCCAGAGTGTATTAGACATAGCCATATGGCAATCATAATGAAGAAATCCTACTAAAACCATGGAGAAAATTCCAATACAAACGGCCCAAAAAATATTTTAAAAAAAAAAATTTATACGCTAACTTCAAAATCTGCTCTAACAAAAGAGATCTAAACAAGTACCAAAACACTTTATGAATATTAAACACCAACTTCATTTAGTTCAAAGCTTAAACAATAAAAAGGCACTAGCAAATAAACACACACATAAAAAGGAAAAGAAAAAAGAATTTTTAAATCAAATCACCTTTCTTCTGTCATCAGGCTGCATCTTTCTTAGCAACAAAGCATCAAAAACTCTTCAAAGCGATAAACAAATAAGTGCATCTAGCACAAAATCCAAAGCCAAACACAACTGAAACCCAATGACCCAGATGCCCAAATCACCTCAAGAAGATCAAACAAGACTAAACACGTCTAGATCACCAAGCTATGATCACCAAAACAAGCCTCAAAACCCTATAAAAACGAAGAAGAAAAAAAATCCGGACTTGGGCTAAAATGAAAAGACCCAATAGAGTTTTGGGGACTAAAAGGACACCCTTTTGGTTGAATGAAGAATCTCGCTTCGGTAAAGAGAAACACCCGATTTTATGTTTCTCCGCCTTGGAAGAAATTTTGACGGAAGTCCCAAAATCTAATTTAGCTGGAAACAGAAGATTTTTTTTTAACTTGCTTTCGGAGGATTTAAGAAGGCGATAATCTCTAACGAATTATTGCGAACAAACGTGTAAAGTAAAGTAAAGTAGATGAGAAATGTTATTATTTATAGTTATATTATAAAAACATGCGAGGAACTTTAAAGTTTCCGGAGGAAAGAACAGACAAGAAAAAGAACTGATTCTTTTTCTTGTTCTTTTTTTTTTTTTAGCTGAAGTTGGGAATTCAAGAGAGGATAAATTGAGATTGGAATGTAGAAGATTATGGACGAAAGTGCATTTGGATCTGAGTTAGAGAGAGAAAGAGAGAGGAGAGAGAGAATCCAGGACGGACGGTGTACTTGAAGTTGGATACTTTGAGGTTTGGAGCAGACACTACCACAGAAAAAAGAACAGAAAGAGAGAGAGAGAGAGAGAGAGAGAGAATGGACGAAAATTGTTTGTTATTTATTAGTTATTTAAAAAAATTAATTAATTTTAAGTGGGGTTAATTTATGAAATGACTTCTCTGCCACTCAATCGTAATTTCGTTGTCTTTTTTTTTTTTGAGTTAATTTCATGTGCGCCCTGAATGTTAGAATCATTTTTAGGTCGTCCTTAAATTTTAAAAACTCTTACAATCTATTCTTTTTGATTAATCTCAGTTGACACTTTTTGTTAGAATTTTCTTAAAGGATTTTTTGTTAGAATTTCTGCTAAAAACAAACAAAAAAAGAGAGTCAAGTATGGTTACGTCGTCTATCTCTATTTGTTTTGAACAAAAATTATAACAGGAAAAATTGTGACCATTACCCTTTTTTTCCCGATCCGTTTTTAACATAAATTCTACTTGAGGGGTTGAATGGGACTAAAGACACACTAGAGGTAAGTTTTTTATGCCAAAAAGTGTGGAGAAGAGCGGCTAACTACAATTATTTATAAGTGTAGTAAAAAAGGTGTTAGGAGATGAAACAAAGCACCAAACACTAATAAATATTAAATCAGTAATTTAGATCATCATTCATTTCACCGATTCGAGTTTTCAATTTTAAATTTTTACAGTAAAAAACTCTCAGAAAATATCACATCTAACTTTTTCTGCTATAATAAAAAGCTCTCAGAAAATGTCACATCCCAGCTCAAATTGAAAACTCGAATCCGCGAAGTGAATGAGGCCTTGTATCGGATGCTTTATATAAAACTTAATAAATCTTCCATCTATCAAAATTTTTTCAAGACAAATCGAATGGCATTACACTATTTGTGGTAACTAACACTAACGGCAAATAATACTAACACTAATTAGGGATGGCTACAGGCGGAATGAAATCGGAGAATATTCTTGGTCGTATTTAGAATTGATCATGTTTTTATTTTTTACGCTTTTCGAGAAAGAGAAAATGAAAATGTTTTTAAAACGGCATTTGACGCAATAAAGATAAAAAATAAGAATGAAAACGTTTTTTTGGTTTAGTATAAAACGAGAGAGAAATGAAAAACGACTTTTAGTTGTTTTTCATTTTTTGTTTTCATTCTCCTCTCTTGAGCAGAGAGAAATAGAAAAAGAGACATTAATGGGTTTTTTTACACTGAAATAATATCTTGATAAACTATTAAACGCATTTTTAAAAATGATTTCTGTTTGAAATTAAAAACGTTTTCATTTTTATTTTCATACAAAAAAATAAAATCATTTTAGAACGAGTTCCAAATGCACCCTTATATTCCATTTCTAACCCCCAAAATCATCCATGTGCCTTTAAAGGAGAAGCGATGAAAGAGTCGGAGAATTCTTGATGAAGAACCTTTTCCGGTCTTTCTTTTACCCGTCCTAATTCCTATTAATATTTTCACGAAACAAAGAAAAATTCAACAAAATACATAACATTAAGATTTCAGTTAATACAAACCATATTTTTAATACTAATTCATGTGTATAATTCTGAATAATAAATTGTACCCATTCTTGTCCAAACCCCCGTTCATCCATTCCAGCCCTATGACGGACGGATCGCGCGGAAGCAAAAGAGGGGAAAAAAATGATATCCCTAATACTCACAATGCAAATTAAAGATTATATAAAAGTTTTGGATATGCTCTTGAGACATCTATTGAACTTTTTTGTTTTTCTTTTGTTTTTTTTGTTTTGTTTTGTTTTTGTTTTTTTACTAGGAGGCCATTAGACGTTAACTTTTACGCTAGCATTTTGTATTCTATGGTCTATACTCTAGTGGCACTAAAATTTATATCTTCTCAAATATGTCAAATCACTAAGTCCGTTTGGTTCATGGATTAGAATCATTTTTTATTTACGTGTGTTTTTTGTGAGAGAAAATACTGTAGCGAACCATGAACCATGATTCAAATCAGAAAACAAATCCGCCAACCAAACGGGCGTCAAAAATCGATAAAAAGTTTTGTACGAAAAATATTTACTGGAGGGGCTTTTATCTTATATTTGTAGGATGGATAGAAAAAAAAATGAAGGAAAAGTAAAATATCTAGTTAAAAAAATTAAAATAGTTTTTTTTTTATGTTTTTAGTAGAAAAAAAAAGTGAAAAAATGTTAAATTTAAGAAATTTTATAATAATATTTTAATAAAAATAAAAATATGGTGAATAATAAATATTAAAATTGTTATTTTACATCTCATATGTTTGTTAAATTTTTTTTCTCATCTTTTCTTTTCAAAATTAGAAGGATTAAAAATTGATGGGTTCTATAGATTTTCATTTTTCTTCTTTCCTCATTTTCTCTCTACTGAGCAACCTAAAATTCTATTTTTCCTTTCAAAATCTTTCATTTATTTTCTTTCCTCTCTATTTTCCACCCTTCCAAACACATTATTAATGATACCGAATACCTACTTGTAATATTTCTTTTGAATGTCTAATCGTATAATCACATCAAAATACAATAATATGCAAATTTACGTAATTTTAATTGAAATCTAATTATGAAACTCCCTAATTGGGATCATAAACACAAATTAGTAAATAGACACGAAACATTTATATGAAGGGGAGTGAATAGACATATTATGTATTATAGATAAATAATATATTCTTGTAAAAAAAAAAAATTCATGGTTTTGACTTTTGAGGTTGATCCAAATAGGCTGGCACTATGTGTGTATGTTTTTTTTTTTTTGTCGTTTTTTTTTTCAACAATGACTTTAGGGGAACGCATATAAATGAATTGGCATAATTCTCCCAATAGTGTTTTTTTTTTTTTTTCTGTAGAATAATTCTCCAGATTGTGTTGTATGTTGGGCAGCGTAAGTGTTAAACTAATGTAGCGTTTGGTGCAAAAGAGTAGTACTTATCCATTGGTTCACCATTCATTGTAAGTTGTAACCCTGCTATGCATGTGCACATGGGATCTCTTCATTATCATAGAATAGAAGAACCTATAAATATGCACTCAGAACACAATATATATACACACACACATATGCATATTCTATCCAAATATTTAAAGGATTATAATTAATGTTGGGAGACTCCACATACATATGAAATGGACCCAACATATTTGAGGAGTCTAATTTGACCTAAAAAGTTAATCTATTAGGTCTTAGTCCTTCCTTGCATATAAATCATTTCACATCTTTATCCACTCTCTACGTGGGACAACACACGTGTATTTTTCTCAACAATCTCCCCCTCATGTGTATGTTCACCGAGCTCCCCCTCAAACTAAAGTTTCTTGTAGCCTGCACATCTAAGCATCACACTCCAAATGAGAGCCAACTCAAGCATGAGAAAGAGAGTCGGAATCATACGAGTCCACCAAATGCTCCACCATTTGCACCTGCAACTGTGAGTGTGATCGCTTGCTCTGATACTACTTGTTGGGGAGACTCCACATGCATGTGAAACTGACCCAACACAATTCAGGATCTCAACTTGACCTAAAAGATTAACTTATCCTAAAAGATTAACTTATTAGGTATTGGGTCATTCCATACATATAAATCATGTCACATCTTCATTCATTTTTCATGTGAGACAACACACATACACTTTTCTCAACAATTAAGAATGTAGTTAAGTTTTATCTTTATAGTATCTCTAATCTGGTGAAGTAAACCCATCAATAATACAAACTTCTATAATCAAAACATAATGGTTTTTAACACTTGATTTGTCCAAGTTGTCACATGGTGCAAACATATGCAAGCAAAATATGTCGTGCATAATTAGTGATGGCGTGATTATAACAACTAAATAAAAGATGCCTTTTGATTAGCAAAAATAACAACAACAACAATAATAATAAAAGATGTCTTTTGTGATAATTACGTTGATTGAGTTATAAGATAATATCCGACGCATTGTTTAGCTATTTAAGCATGTTCAACTTTGCATGATAAAAAACAATGAAATCAATATATTGCGTTGGCTAGATCAAATGATGCGATTGCTTAAGAATATGTAGCATACACGCATTATTTGGACATGGTTAATACAAAATTGATAATCTTAAACTGCTTGGTAAAAACTAATTTTTATAATGAAAAAGAATATTATCACTAAGACAATACTTATTAACGGAAATAAAATGACAAAAGAAAATAATCAAGCTTTGTACAATCTCTACAATACCTTTTTTTAAGGGTCTAAAATACCCTTTTTTAGTGCCATGCGAAAAAATATTATCCTTAATTTTGATTGTGAAAAATATGAAATTTGAAATGCATACTTGTAAATTGTAATAAACAAAAGCAAAAAAGAAGGGTGCATTAATGAGCAAAAAAAGTTGGCAAGCCGAGAATTTAGACAGTCTGTTTAATCTAATCAGTCATATCACGTTATATTATTTCATAATAAATACAAAATAATTAATTAAAAAACAGTTTAATATTATTACTAAATAAACAAAAACAAAAAAAAGGGTGCACTAATGAGCAAAAAAAGTTAGCAAGCCGAGAATTTAGATATTCTGTTCAATCTAATCAGTCGTATCACGTCACATTATTTCATAATAAATACAAAATAATTAATTAAAAAGCAGTTTAATATTTTTACTAAATATGGTATAATATGATTAATGAGACACTAATTGAGACATTAAAATTAGATGAAAATCTTGTGATTAGCCTATTACAAAAGGAAATTATAATATACATGAGATATTATATATAAGAGAAAATTATAAAATTTATCTTTAAAAATACATGATTTAAAATTTTTAACCCTCATTCTTAATTAATATTATTTTATTAATATAATTTTTTAACTAAAAAAATTATTAATAAAAAATAAGAGATAAAATACCTTATTTATGTACTTTTAAGGAGATATTTATATAATTTCTTCATTATATAAATAATTAGAGCACCGCTAATTCCACGCCCTGTGCCGGTGATGTAACAGAGTGACCCATGCGCTGACAAAGCCAAACGAAATGGCCGCGTTTGCGTTAAAGTCT